GGAAGGGGAAACAGAAGACATCTCCTGGGTAAATTGGGGACAGGAAGAGGAGTATGGGGTGTGGGGAAGCAGACTGGGCAGGCTGGGCAGGCTGGGCACTAGAGGTGGTTTTGGGGTGGGATGGAGGGGGCGAGTGAAAAAAGAGGTGTGATAATGGGTTGGGGGGCATTTCAGGGATAGGGAGAAACCAGATTCCTAGGGAAACTCCCAGCAATCCACAAGGATGACCCCAGCTAAGACTCCTAGTAGATGCCTGCACTGGCCATCTACTGTAATTGGATTGATGACTACCTTAACTGTCAGCAAAGAGCCTTTACTCAGTAACTGATAGAAGCAGATGCAGAGATCCATAGACAAGCACTGGGCCGAGCTCTGGAAGTCTGCCTAAAGAAAGAGAGGAGGGATTGTACAAGCAAGGAAGGTCAAGGTCATGATGGAAAACCCCACAGAGACAGCTGGCCTGAGCTCCATGGGAGCACATGGACTCTGGACCAACAGTTAAGGAGCCTGCCTGGGACCGACCTAGGCCCTCTGGATGTATGTGACCGTTGTGTAGCTTGTTCTGTTCCGAAAGCTCCTAGCAGTGAGATCAAGACATGTCGCTGGGGTTAGCTGGCTTTGGGGACCTGTTCCCCATGCTGGATTACCTAGCCCAGTCTTGATGCAGGGCTAGGGGATGAGTTCTGTCCTACCTCAGCTTGATGTGCCATGCTTTGTTCAAGCCCATGGGAGGCCTGCTCCTGAATGGAGACTGGGGAGGAGTGGACTGGAAGAGAGGTAGATGGGAGTCTGATTTGGGAGGAGGGAACAGGAGGAGAAGAAAGAGGGGTAACTGTGGTCAGTATGTAAAATAAATGAAAAAAATGGTAATTAAGTAAAATAAGATAAAGAAATGTTAAAATGAAAGAGAAAAAAAACAAAACAAAACAAACAAACAAAAATAACATATGCATTTTTCAGAAAAGATACTGCAACACAAACAGGCTAATAACTCACCCCCAGACAGACACATCATGGTCAAATCAAGGGTAGAGCTGATGAGCAAATCCAGGTAGAGGAGCTCCATAACCTGTGTCCTAAACATTGGGCCACACCACATCTGTATGACTAAAACTCAGATATACCCAGTTACTGCTGTATATCCAGTGCTTTCACACTGACTTTCCAAGAAGCCATGTGCAATGAGATGCTGAAATTCAATGTGTACCTCTTACAAATACTGACTCTATAGTATCAAGTGTGGAATACAAATAAATTAGCAAACATCCCTGAAAAGAAAAGAAAAACCTCTTTAACAATATTTTTGTTGAAACCGATTTTTATAAAAAAATACAGCTATAACTGGCACACCTAAGACATATTAGCATTTACCATCCCTATGTTAAGAAAAGTGTCTTCAAAACTAATGAAAACCCTTGGCAATTTGAATATTAGATGATACTAAATTATACTATAATTATTTCAAAGGTCAAGAATCTTACACATTTAGTCTTAAAACTCTCCACCTGGGTGATGCAATCAGAAAATTTAAGTATGTATGAAAATATTTAATTATACAAAACAGGAAGAAATCTACTAATTTAATAACCTTTAAGTAAAATGTGCTATCTTTCCACATAAGTATTTTTCCCTGTGCTGCAAAAATGAACATTTTAGAAGAATATATGAACTGTGTTAGTCTCAAGGAAGAGTGGGACATCATGGTATGACATAAATCAACACATCATGTATGCATACTTAACTGTAAGGCGACAGGGCACTGTTGAAAACACTCAATGCTCTTAACTATCGAACCACCTCTCCTGCCCCTTGATTAGATCATTTTAAAAGAAGATTTGCCTTTGAGATTTGGATTCCTTTTTTATAGCTAAGTTACCTCACACTCAGGACAGTCCTTTCTTCGTGAAATGTGGAGAAAACTAAGGCATTCCCAGAGGATAGGGCCACAGCGGAAATGGTTTTGCTCTGCTAGAATTGCCCCTGGCTGCAGAAGGCCTATATTACATGCTGGACCAGTGGGTCTTGAATTGATTTGGTGTGTTGTGTGAATAAACATGGATGGAATTTGTTTTTTTAAGCAATTGCAATGGAATGTTTTAATGGACAGACTTTAAAAAAACTGCTTCTGTTTCTTTGTTTGGGGATCTTTGTTTTTTTGATTTTGGCAGACAGGGCCTTATTACTATGTAGCCCTGGCTTGTTCAAAATTGCCTTTGTGGATGCATTTGACATCAGATTTGTGATGCTTGTGTATATTACAGGTGTGCAATCTTTTGTTTCTGTTTCTTATTTTCTTAAGCCTTCATCATGTATGATTATTTTACATGCAGCAAACTCACAACAAAGTACAAGACAATATTATCTGAAGCCTTCACAAACAGCTATCCATGCCCTTGTGCTCCCTTTTTGGGTGTGATTTTTATATTGAACCTTGAAGATAAATAATATTGACAACTTGAGAGACATCTTTCTGGCTCAACTGACAAAACTAATCTTTAGTTAATTCACGGTGACTCATCATGAAGATGAAGGGCCTTCACTGACCAAATACGGGAAACATTTTCAGAGTTGGGAGGCGTCTGTACTCAGGGGAGGACTGGACTTCAGCAGGGCTGGGTGTGTGGAGTGCTGAGACAGGGCTGACTGCCAATGGAAGCCACTGCATCAGACTCTTTGGGCTGTGTTGTCTCGTCTAGGTAACGAGTGCCTCCTATGTACCAGAAACTGTCCACCTGCTTTGTTCATGGCAGCTCCTATTTTGCCCAGCCACACTACTGTTCTGTGAATTGCATGCAATTATCAAAATGTAAATGAGGAAACAGGTACAGAGGAGTTCAGAGAAGCCACCACAGTCAACAGGTTCAAGGTAAAACTGAACTTTCAAAACAGATGTCCCGTATCCACAGCTTGACTACTATATGCGATTTGCCCTTTTAAAGTTCTTGGAGGCCAAAGGAGGCGGTGCATGTCTGTAATCCTGAGGCAAACGTTAAAGGAACAACCTTAAACAAGAGCGAATTTCATGGAGATATGTAACTTTGAGAATGTACGAAATAGGACAATGAAATTTTAATCTAGATTCCAAATAAAGATCGTAAAGCTTGCAATTGCCTTAATTCTAGAAGCTAAATGTGAAGATATGCATAGGACTCTGCGATGTGTTTTGATGCTTTTCTTTGTGTTTCATACTCTTCATGTACCCAAGTTGATCTTAAATGCTATTTTGTGATAACTGTAGCCTACAGGGGACTCCCTGTATCTAAATATTTGTGGTCAGTCCTAAGTAGAGATTGGGGGGCAGAGAAGAAGATGAAGACAAAATAAAGAAACGGAGGAGAAAAAGACAGGAGAGAGGGAGTATGTTTCATTTACACACTGCTTCCTTTTCTCCTCCACGTTACTTCTTCCAAAGCTGCACTCTTGCTTTGCAAATACATTCAAACACAATTAAAAGCAAGAACTATTGAAAAACTCCACAAGCTATTTCAAGTTAGGCTGATACGCCAGTGTTACCACTTTTTAATATTAAAATAAGTAAATACCAAATGGAAAACAAGAGCTGAAGAACATAATAAGTAAATTCATGTGTATAAAACAAGTAGATTTCAATTGCATTCAATTATTTCAGCCAATCGCCTCGAAGAGAAGATCCTCTAAAGAAAATTGCATTGCCTTCCCAACTCCTTGGAGAGCCAGTTTAGTTAACAGCCTACCTACACTTCAGAGATGACCACGCAGCTTACATGTCAAACTCATTTTCAAATGTCAATCATGTCCTTTTCAATCTAATTAGTTTGGAAAGTAGTGTCACTGACCTGGAACTATGCAGACCATTTATTATCATATCATTTGATCAACCTAACACTTTGCCTCAGTTGAGTTTAAGACACCTGTAGCCAAAATGTAATATCCTTTCTCCTACTCATTACTGGTAACTCTCAATACAATTCCCTATTTACAGCTCAATTTATCACTGTGAGTACGCATGACCAACTTTACAGAGGCATTCCACAGAATCTTCCTGAAGATTTCAGGGCAGTTAAAGCAAAAAGGTAAAAGAATATACACAGATTGTGACTATATACATATATATGCATACAAACATAGTTTTATTAGTACCAAATACATACAGCAGGCTCAGGATTTGAGATAAAGAATTGCAGATGGGAAAAGGAGGAAGAACGAAGGCCATGCACAGGCTGGGAGGAATTTACAACATGAACTATACAGATTGGGTTTTTGTTTCTTTTAATATGGCACAACAAACCATATAAGGAGACTCTTCAGGTTGTCATTCCATTGGGTTTATTTTGTAATAAAGAAAAACTGCCCTGGATTCTTAGTATCTAACCTGACTTTAACTCGGCAAGGTGTAGATGAGGTAGCACTGAAAAAGAAATAATAACTAGCTGCCCAGAGGTCAGAGAGCCTTGGCAAGTGTATCAGAAAGGAGCAAAAGGGCTGGGCGGGGCTAGTGTGCTACATGCTGGCAGCAAGGGAGCTCGAAGATGGCTCACAGAGGAGACACCCCTCGCCGGGTCCATTCTCCAGCAAGACCAGGGAAATTACATGATCTTTTTCCTATTTCAGCTTTGCATATTAAGAATGAATTTGCAAGACAAAAATGCAAGCAGGTAATCTTATCTCGACTGCACAGCATAACACATTGCACCAAGGAAGGAAAGAATACAGGCACTCTGATATGCCCCAAAATGGTATATTCATATTTTTAACTGTGGCATTTTTTAAAAAAAGCACACCTGTTATATTTAAAGTAATGACTAGTCACTCTAGGATGGTAATCTAAAAGCAGAATGCTGGCTGCGAGATCTTCCTTTTTTATCTTAGACTTTTATTGGAGGAAGTTAAGTGGATTTTACCAAAATTTATGATTGTCTGATGGAAAGGCGAGAATGTTACTCATGTTTTCTGGATCAATTTACTACTACTGAATAATTTTACATGAGGTTAAAAAAAATGCACATCTATCTCACACGTACCTTCTGGTGAGGAAGCAGTCTTTTGGGAAAAGACAGCGTGTACTTTACTCTTCTTATGGATATCATTGCTTACAGATAAGCTGGACTGAAGTTTTCTATGCATTTTCTGAGAAACAGGAGCTGAAATTTTGTGGTTATCTGTGGGTGCTTGTTTAGCTCCATGAGGAATTCCATTGCCATTGCTCAGACTCCTGTGGCCCCCATTCTTCATCTTGCCTGTTTCCTCCTTGCTGGGCTCCTGTGTTGATGTCTGCAGCCGAGGCAGGCGCTGAGGTTGGGCTGAGTTAAAAAACAAAACAAAACAAACGAAAAAGAAGTTCATTTAGCTAAGCATGAGAAGCTATTATTTTACAATAATGAAAAGATATATTCCAAAATACAAATTCAAAAATAGAGACTAGAGGTCTAACCCATGATAATAAAACTGAAGAGACAGGGAGTTATAGAAGAAAGGAAGAAGGAAAAGGTGAAAAGGGAAGAAGAGCAATGTTCTAGAAGGAAGGAAAGGAGGGAGGAAGAAATGGAGGAAAGGAGGGAGGGTCTAGAAAGTAAAATAAAATTAGGTTAAAAACATCACTATACAAAGACAAAAAATTAGAGGATTTTTTTTGTTAATTTAAAATAATACTTAAATTAAAAGGTCTGTTTAAAGAAAAGGTAATTCAAGACTGGTTCAGTGAAGGTTGTTCTTGCTGGTTGGTCTCCTGAGCACTACACACACAATACCATGATCTCAGTACTAAACTCACCAATTACATTTTGGAGTGACGGGAACAATTCACAAGTGGACAAGAGAAGAATTAGCTTTTCATCATAGGGAGAAAAACAAAATCCCAAACCCACCCCTTGAAAACACTAATAAAGATCCAGAGCTAAAGCAACAGGAATGGGTAGACACAGTTACAGGGATCAACAAAATGACAAAACATTATTGAAAAGCATGGAGGTGTCCAAATCGTGGGCATAAATATGTTCATTCTCTTAGTTTGGTAATTATTTCATATTTTAGTTAGTGTAGCTCCCACTAACACTTCTTTTGGGCTTTTTTTTTTTAAATGATACTTAGAAGCTGATCCCAAAATAAGGAAGAAGAACACATACAATCAAAGAAATTTTAGGGAAGAAAATTGAGGGTGGGTAGAACTTTCATTAGATGTGAAATTGCACCATCAAATTCCAATAGCTCTAGCACTGTGTCATTTGGCCATACATAGACAAAAACCAGTGGAACAGCAGACTGCCAGGCATGTAGATGCATGCACAGACATACACATGTCTATGACATATAAATAAGACCATCCACATGTCTATGTATGAAAAAAAAAACTCTTTTTTAGTTTAAAGTGGAAAGAGAGACTATTTTAATGGCATGATACTGAAAAGGCTAGTGAATTTAATTTTTTGGGCACTGCATCATTGAACAATTGAGCGAATCATGACAATTTGTGTTGATCAGCATTACCCAACAGCTCCATGTGACCTCAGGACAAATATCTACAACCCAGCATCTTATACAGATCGGTTTCTTAGGAACATGCAATCATTTGATTTAGAGACCAACCAGAATGACATCCTAATGACTGCCATTGAACCCACAGCTAGTTATTCATATGCATTTTAAAAGATGTCAAATTTAGTGTTCTTTACAGAGCACTTTCTAGCAATCTCTCCAAATAAATGGAATGTTTGAGCAACTTCCTCTCTAAAACTAGTAATTCAAGCAATCTGAGAGCTTGGTTAAGTTGAAATGTCATTGACCAATGCAGGGCAACTCCTCATCAATCAGTCAAAAATGACTTCTCATACTCCAGTCCAATGTAACCCAAGAATTGTAATAGTAATGTAATGTAATAGTTAAACAGTCTCATTAAATAAAAAATTCAAGTGGTAAAAGAGGAGTGTGTCCTGTCTCCAAATTCTAAACAATGATAGATTTGACCTTTTTTTTTTATTTCTACTAACAGAACTGAATCTACAACTTATGAGTTACAGCTGGAGCTTTAGTTTAATACATCCTTAACGATTTATCTACATTTCAATCTTCAAAGCATATCTATTTCTGGGGCAGTTAAATGATAGCACTTTTATATTTTATTTCACTGTCACCAATTATTTTTCTGAGGTTTTTGAATTACAGCAACCAAATATTGCCTCTGCACTTCAGTTTTGTTTAAAACACTAAAACATTTTTTAGTTGAATGATTTTGCCGAATGTGTGCAGTACATCAAATCAAAACTGGATAAGCTTTATCTTAGTCATCTCAATAGACAGGAAATGTAGCTTCAGTGACCATTTCTCAAGGGTATGATTTTAATCTTATGGTCAAGTTGCAATTAAAACTAAACAGGAAACAAGATTTTATGTTCAAATGAAGAACGAAACCGCCTGCCTGATTAAACCACAACTATTTGGTTTCAAATAGATTTCTTCTTATTGTGTACAAATCATGTATAGCTCTAAAAAAGCATGCTAATATGGGGGTGACACAATGCTTCTTAAAACACAGGCAACGCCTGGGGACCCTCACTCCTGCTTTAATGATGCACTGTTCTCATTCAGCTGTCTTTCTTTTTTTCCAATCTTTACATATGTGACAGCTCTCAAAAGTAGACCATAGACCATCTGGCATTTTCCGAGGTGGAACTTGTGCAAGTTCAGCTCTATTGGGAGTGCACTGCTATCTTCTGCCTGTGTTATAAAGGGACAATAGAATGTAGAACTTAAGGGTTGTTTTGAATTATTCATTTTTTTGCCTGTATATTCAAGAAATTTTTACAAACTCTGCATTTTGTACTACATAATCACATGCGTTAAAGGTACAAAGAAACTTTTTGACACCTCTTTTCTACAGGAGCCTGGCATTTTGTTTGATATGTGAACATTCAGCATCTGCTATATCACTCCAAACAGGACGGGGGCTGCTACAAAAGACCCCATTTTAAATTTACTCTCTATGAGCGAAAAATGTATTCTCAATATTCAAGAATGAATGCAATACTTGTCAAAATTTCAAATACCAGATATTAGGACATTCAGCATCTTCAAACCTGGATAGCATTGGTCACCTGATCGGCATATGTGTAGAGACTTTTTTTTAAAAACCACAGCTCACACAATGCAGCATGATTGTAATTTTAATATCCATGATGAATAGTTACAAATGTCTTAAGAAATACTGTTCTTTCTAGGTTCAAATGTTTTCAATCAGGGAGGATTAGGTCTAACAGTTTTCAATGGGAATAATAAACATGGGAACAAATGAGTCAATGGCATGAACTTCTTTTGATAATTAAAAAAAAAACAGGTGATACTGTAACTAGTAATAAGTACATGTGAAACTGCAACTGCTGGCATAGCCACAGAAAGCCACGTTTTACTCCAGCATATAATCTATTAGTGGGAGCAGATCATCTGCATGGCTGGTGTCCACACAAGCCATATTCAATAAAATTACAAGAATTCTCATGCATGTAGTTAATTTAAATGGTTGATGTACACATAAAAATCACACTAAATCCTGTTACTTTTCACAGGGATAATTATAAGGTTCTTTTGTTAAAAATAATTATAAGGTTCTTACTGGGTATGCAGTACCACACAGCCACTATAGGACACACACACACACACACACACACACACACACACACACACACACACGGTAATGGTAGAGATGCTTGCTATATATGCAATACTGCATATGAATATATGAACAATTTAGCAAATTAAATGTTATTAAAAGATACCTGTGATCTTGACACTTTATATACAATAGTGTCCTTAAATAGCAGATGAGATGGTTTTCAATATGACTCATGATAAATGTATATTTTTTTATTGGCTGCATAATGTGAATTTAGGTAAAATCACTTAGAATCAAGGTGAAAGTCTTCTCTTTTTTTATCATCCAGTGCCAAGACTTTCTCTGTGTGCAAAGTCTGGGTGCACATGCCCCTAAATCCTGCCCAGCTGGAGACTCCTGGTATACTCTATACTGTTTTTCGTCATCCTCCTCAAAGGCTTTTGGAAATGCCTTATTTACTTCTTGAGTTTCTAGACTCTTTTGGTCACATATCCTATTTTCTATCTTCACTGAATCTAACGTACATATTTAACATATGAAATTGTATATTGAAATCACTATTTTTATTTTTTTGAACGTTCATGAATTTGCAATCCCAGTCAGCCACTGTGGTTCCCCTGATGTGAGTTCACAACATGGAGACTATTCTGGCACACTGTATTTTATTTTAAAAAATTAATTCAATTGTAATTATTGTGAAATAAATCATTAGATGACAATGGGAAGTACTACTATTCAAAATTTAAAAAAAGGCAAAATGTTAAAAATTGTTTGGGAAAGCAACTGATCTATTGCTATTGCATTTCATAAAGAACATTTAGAATATAATTCAACATATTTAACCCCCAGAGGAGGAGACCGATAGCTTCCTGAAAATCCATTTCTGTGTTGTCCAAGGCAGATATTTACTCCTGTGTTCCAACCTTCCCTTGCAGGTAGATTCAGCATTCTCAGAGATGGGCTTGTTTCTACATGCTCCTTCCAGGCCTGGCCCTGAGGGGCTGGGTGTGCCCACTTCTTAATGTGGCTGGCCACCTACCAAGCTTTGATCACAGCTGAGGAGCACACTTCAGGGATTTTGAAGGAACCAAGCCCCGGGAATCTTCATGGAATCAGGGAAGACTGACTTCCCAGTCTCTGCCTGTGTTTGTTCCTTCCCATTACCTCACCGACACAGTTTCCCCACATTTGAAAACTGTTCTGCTTGCCTTCATTTTGAAATTCTGTGAAAGTGCTAATAATTATTTCTTTTCCTAATAACCATTGAAAAACTTGTATCAAATAACTATGCAAGCATGATCTTGTGTTTTCTAGATAAAAATGCAATAAATTCAAAATAAGAATTTTAAGGACCATAAATCACATTTTCACTTAAGATGTACACACACACACACACACACACACACACACACACATATACACACTTATGTCTGTATATATTATATATTTGGTCCTCAAAGCATAAATCAATGAAGAACAAAATCCCACTACTTTTTTTCTCTCTAGACATAGTTTCATATCTACTACTTGATTTTATACTCAAATGAATGGCAAGTTTGGCCTTTTATCTTATTATGCTTCATAGTTTCTGGTTAACTTGTCTGTGGAAAGAGTCTCCCATTTGTGAATTTGAAAAGTTTAAATTGCCAGGTTTGGTTATAGGGTGTCAATTACAAGCTTTATGAGTGTGTTTAAACT